ATAGTAAATTTGTATGTTCCAATGCTCCAATGCCGACTGTATCCTCCTCTGCTGAAATGCACGTAATCTTAAAGCTTGTCAGCGCTCGAGTAACTCTTGATCCTCTGTGGTTCCTGACACACTCCTCATGTACATATTTAAGGCGTTTACCACTCGGTTGACCTTATCAAGTGGCATGCGATATTCAAACTGTGAGCGACTACCAACTCAATCCATTTGCACGGTCTCAAATACAAACTCTAATGAGTGAACATAAATTACTCTGATGATCCCAATGAATCTGAACTTCCTTCCCACACAATGATGATTTCGAACGCTCTAAAGCCGATACAACTGTTGCTGACTTCAAGTCGTGCACTGAATATTTGGCCGCAAAATATGATCCCACTATCCACAGCATAAATCTTAATACAATTCTCTTCATGACTGTGATTGCAACGAAGCAATTTAATAACTCAAACTCATACTCTGCTCGGTAGCTTTCTCCACTGAGATTCGTAATCTGAAGTAAGTGACAACACCGCTCATGTGTGAATCTCTACTCGCATTCTATCTCAAAACTTTCTGATCAGATTTCCTTCCGAGTGACACCTCTAACAAATCCTCAGGGTACGTCTGTTAGGTCCAATGGCTTATTCATACTTTCTCCTACCACGCTAATGCATCTCCACGTAGATATTCCATAGTCAAAGTAAAAGGCAACTTTGGTGGTCACTTCAAAAATCTCTGACTTCCATTCCAAAATGCTCCATATTCATATTCTTCATCTGACTTGCTGCTTATACAATGATCTGACCTTCTCGTATTAAACACAAAATCTGCCTATGCTCCTCATACTTCTCTTCACTCCAACAATATTCAGGGTGTTGCCGATGAATACAACCACACACTTATCCAAGTGTTCGCAAAAAGAATTTATCCTTAAGTTTCATGAATGCTATTCGTGAATCTTCAACCCAATAATATTATTTCCAACTCGTATTATCCATCTTATATGAGAAACTGTAATCTGTACATACTTCCCAACTATAGTAATCTGATGGTACTCTGAATCCAAGTCAATCTTCAAAAATGATGAACCTCCTGTAGTATCCTGCCAAATCTACTAATCTACACAGCAACACTCTTAGGTGATAGCCACTCTGGGACTGCAATAATCCTTTCCGGATCAATAACAACTCTTGCCTCTGAAACCTCGTGACCCAAAAATCTAATCTCCTTTTGCCAGAAGCAACACTCATTCAACTTAGTAAATATATGATGCCCTCTCAGCTTACCCAATACAATCCGCAAATGCTCTGCATGCTCTTCTCTGCTCCAAGAATAAACTAGGATATCCTCGATGACAACGATCACACGCGTAATCAAATACTCGTAGAACACAACGATTATAAGTTTCATGAACACTGCCGGTGCGTTCGCCAATACAAATGTTCTTACTACAACTCATAATGCCCATAACGTGTATGGGAGGTTGTCTTCCACACATCCTTCTCCGTTATGGGGGTATGGTGATAACCCGATGCTAAATGAACAGTTGAAAACCATATAACTCCTTGTAGCTACTCCAACAACTCATCAATACACGGAAGCGGATACTCATTCTTGATGTCACCTTGTTTAAACCTCTGTAGCCTACACAAAGTCTGAGAATATCATATTCCTTCGTCGCAGTAACATTAGTGGTCTCCATGGCGAAAAGTCTGGTCTAATAAAATCTTTGTCTGCTAAATCTTTTACTGTCTCATCAATTCGGCCATCTCTGCTTGCACTAAACGGTATGGAACTCGTGAATCTGGTGCTACCTCTTGTTCAACTCAATCGTATAAACGTGTCTTCTATCCGATGGTGACCCTTCTATAGGTCTCAAATACATTCTCATATGCTGTAACAACTAGCAGCTCATGCATCTCATGTTGTTCATTATCCTTAATCATCAAATGTCTTCAGAAATCGATTTGCTCTTGTATCCAATAACTCCTCAACATGTAGTGTGGAAACAATAAAAATCTCATCTCCTTCCGTATAAACCATTGCCTTTAGCAACTCAATACTTCTTGATACCATTACAATCATTTTATCTAAAAAAAATGGTACCGTAAAGCTCAGCTCCATCCCTGGCGAATCTCTGAATAACACAACCTCCAAACATAACTAGTAAAACTCGATGAACATGAATAGTTCTCCACATCTTATGCCAGCTTTCCGAGCTGACACAACTCTAAAAAGGTCATCACAACCAAAAACCGACGAACACGCCAAATGTAACTCCAATATAACCATAACGTAAGATGCTGCACCCTAATTCCAAAAGCGATCACCACGAGTTTACAACAAAGCATATCTCCAAAGTAGTCAATATACTCATACACAAAACATCACACGCCAATCCATGGCTCAAAACTCACATCACAAAAAAACTCATACATCAGAAACTCGTGGAGTGGCGGCTTGAAATTGGGTGATAGCAAAAACGTCACATATCCGCTCCTGGACAACATAGGAGAAAGAATGTAGAACCCAATAAACTTCGGCGAACTCTGACAAAACTGCGGCATCACATCTCTGCTGAACATCTGGTAGACCTCTGGTAGCCGAAAGACGAATGACGATGACGATGACTTTACCCATCGTCATAAAAAGAGACAATTGAAGTTAGTGGTTACTGGACAGAATGGTGCTAATAGAATTTTCAAAATACTTTTTTTTTTTTTTATAAAAGATATATATTATTATTATATATTTTTTTGAAAACGTTGAAAACCGAATCCCCTGACCGCCATCCCGGGACAGAACCGGGATGGAACCCGCTCTGATACCAAAAATGTAACACCTGTCACCTCCTATCTGGAGTACAGCGTGTCACCCCCGACGCGTCCTCAAATAACAATGTGACACCCGTCTCCCTCTCACTAGGGACAACGGGCCACCAATAATATCTCGAAAAATAAAAATCCAAAAGCCCAACTACACTCGCCCAAGCCCAAATAAGAATCCGAATAAAAAGTCCAATAGCACCAAGTCCGTCCAAATATCACCTTATTGCTTGTCTCACCTGAAATGGGAAGAAAGAGGGGTGAGCGACTGGGAAGTCACTCAGTGAGGTATGGGATGCTACCCCGAAGTCCGTAGACCCGGACATAGCACTCCAAATAAATATAAATTAATTCTAATGCATGTCAAACACGGTACCTAAAGTACCCAAGCAAACAAGCAATGGTCCTAGCGAGGCGCGCACTCGCCGCCCACTAACGGGCCAAAAACAACACTTCCCACACTGGGGTATAACNCCGGACATAGCACTCCAAATAAATATAAATTAATTCTAATGCATGTCAAACACGGTACCTAAAGTACCCAAGCAAACAAGCAATGGTCCTAGCGAGGCGCGCACTCGCCGCCCACTAACGGGCCAAAAACAACACTTCCCACACTGGGGTATAACAACTCGAGATAGTGCTCGGACACCGCCCGTAGACGATTTGTCGATGCTTCCAGGTTACGGTCCAGCCGGCCGACTATAGCTGGCCGTAACCGCTCATACAATCCGGCTTACAGAAGTCCGTCTCTGTACCCGGCCAAACAATTCTAGCTATTCATTACATTAAGTGAAGCAATCAATGTTGGATCCTCTAACCACCTAGTTCCGGTTTAAGCAAGCAACCTAAAGCTAATCAAGCAAGGACAGACTCGATTTCACGCAGACGGAACACAATAGAAATAAATTATATTTATTTAAAGTTCTAAGTCGCGTACGAATCGTTCGGAAGTAGACCCTCACCTTAGAAATTGAGAAAAATAGTATCTATGAACTTCAGCTGCTCAAATAGATCCCAAATCTGAAATCAGATCGAAATTCCGAGTCAGAATGACCTTCGAACGGTCGAAAACGGGCGATTACGGAAAAGTCAACCCGCAGGTCAAAGGTCAACCCGGTCAACTTTGACCCAAGCCGGTCAACCCTTGACCAAATTGAAATCGAATTGGACCAATCGGTTTTCCTTAACCAAATTGCAATTCAATTGAACCGGTCAAACCAGTCAAACCAACCGTTGACCGAGTCAACCGAGTTGACTCGCTGAGTTGACTCGGCCGAGTTGACCGAGTCACCGGCGAGTCACCGGCGACGGTCACCGGCGGCGACGGTGGTCCGGCGGCGGCGACACGGCGGTCTGGCGGCGGAGCGGCGGCGGTCCGGCGGCGGAGGAGCGGCGGTCCGGCGGCGGAGGAGCGGCGGCGCGTGTGCGCCACGCGCGCGGACGACAAAACTTGCGGGGGCGCGTGACGGCTCGTCCGGGCTCCGATTACGGCGTTTTTGGTGTCTATGGCTTTGTCTCGACGAGTAGAACACGGTGGTGGCCTTGCATGCACGAGATTCTCAACGGTTCAGAAGTTATTGACGATTTACTAAACGGAGAAAACAAAGCTTCAACTCACTGCGATTTCCGGTTACTTTGGCCGTGGTGGACGGTGGTGATGAGCTCTGCCTGGTGCCGACGAGTGGTGGTCCGGACGAGCTCTGGTGATGGCTNAGAAACAAATATTTCCCCTTTCTCACTCTAGAACTCTCTCTCTTCTCTCTCCCTTTCTCTCTCTCTAATTTCTGATTTTTGTAAGAAAATGAATTGATGGGCTGAAGCTGGGATTTATAAGGGAAGAAATGGGCTTTCGGGAGTGAGTTCGGGCTTAGCCGATTAATAATTTCTGAAACCGAAATCCGGGTCGTTACAAAAATATTGTTTAGTACAAGTTGTTCTTACAAACCCCACATATCTTTATTTCAAATTTCTAAAATTCTTACAGATAATACATTTTCTATTATAAATATGTTAAGAGATTAGTACATATATCAACAGATCCCCATTTGCATTTCCTGTGTAAATAAACATTGCTACTATACACTTGCCTCTTCCTTAGGTCGTTGATAGATTATGTTTGGAAGTGATATAAACAGAGACAATTCATTTCTTAAAAAAAAAGTAGACTGTTGTTTTCCAAAGTTGGGATTAAACATTAGAGCCAAATACAAGCAAACGTGTCTCAGATTTGTAGTTTCGTTCACAGTTAATCTAGCTAAGTAACCAGATAATTAAACACTTCTTAAGAGATCACTAAACTGAGAACTAAAGAGTAGAAACTAAAAGAGAGATTGAAACACCTATGGTAATAGTCTCACGGTTATTATTAGTAGTCTCCAGACACGAACCCAACTTTGCTCTCTGGACCTTCGAACTGCCACGTCGCCGGTACTGAAGCCACGTGGCTCGTAACAGCTGCTGTAGCATCAGTAGCGTTACTGGAAAACGGCCAGACGGTTATCCCTTGTCCAAACCTAACGTTGTACTCGTGACCAAGCCCAAGTCCAAACCCTTCCAGCCCATTAAACCCACCACCAGGCCCATTTCTGCTTGCTGCGACGTTGTAGTTGAGCAGAGAGGTGAAACCGCCGTAGACCGACGACGGGCTTCCCTTCGCCGATGTGACATCACCATTGCTGGAAGCCGGAGGGAAGAGAACAGGCGTCGCTTGTAACGGGAACTCCCGGCTTCCGACGGCGGTGGAAGCAGCGACGGAGGAGCAAGTGCGAGAGCGTTTAGAGCTTTTACGGGAAACGCCACCGACGGGAATGTCACGGAGAGTACCACCGTGAGTCCAGTAACGGCGACAAGATTTGCAGAAATGGCGAGGCTGTGAGAAGTTGTAGTTGTTGTAGTAACAGAACTTGGTGTTGGTTGATTCACAGCGAGGACATGGAAGCTGGTCTTGCTGATCCGCCACAGCTCCTACTCCGTGTGGTATCTTAGTTAATCGACGTGGCTCGTTGATATCAGAAGGCATGTTGAAGATAGTTGGAAAGAAAGTTTTAAATAAAAATTAGTACACTAGCTTTGGAGTTGTGTTAAGAGGTATGGAACTTTTCTGAGAGAGAAAGGTTCCTTTTATGGACAAGGGAGAGAGATGAGAGGGTGAGGGAAGGAGAAGAGAGTGTGAAGGTTAGTGACAGAGTTGTGTTGGGTTTATTGTGAACATAGAGAGAGAAAGATATGCTTTGTTTCTTTCAATTCTCTCCTCTCTCTTTACCTCTCATGATACGTAGGTGGTCTCGGGCTCTTCTTTCAATGTTTAAACTAGCGTATGAATAAAACCACAAACAATTCTCTAATCTCTCTATCAATAATTCTGTGGCATGTATAACAAAATTCGAAATAAGACAACTTACCAGGCATGAGTGATGTTTGAGTACCCTTAATATATATTACATGTCGGAGTGCATATCAAAATTGGATTATGAAACTAAGTTGAAAGTCAATTTTACGTATTACATATTATGATGTTTGAGTACCCTTCATATATTACTGTAAGAGTGCATAATAAAATTGGATTATGAAACTAAGTTGATAATCAACTTTACGTATTATTATGAAGAGTTAATAGTAGAGTATGAATACTGACCATGCTAGACAACTGGTCGATCTTTAGGGTAAAGAGAGAGAGAATATGATGACAAATGTGATTTTTGTCCCAAACGAAAGAAGAGGGGTTACAATTGTAAATAGAGTGCTAAGACGGTCAAAAGAGACAGAATAGATTCGTTTTGTGAAGAGACAGAATCAAGCCAAGCTTGTCGGGTAAAGATATAGATACGGAGAGTATGCTGTGTGGATGGACAAGAAATTGAAGCATGCAAATCTTCACACCAAAAAAACAACGAAGATTTTAGAGAGAGAGAGTGACATGTGAGAAGTGTGTGTGTGTGTGTGAAGACGTGTCTACTGGTTCAGAGCCGTCCTTTCTCTGTGTGCCCACCAGTCTACTCTGGTCAAGCTCTGACACACTCTCTCTTTATCCGATTCCTTTGGTCATTTTCCTCTCTCTTCTTGGAAGTCATTTCAATTCATTGATGCTATGTTTATCTCCCGGTCCGTATGAGTAATGGGCCTTTTCTTTTAGATGTATGACTGTTATTGCTCATGGGCCTTATTATATTATTTGAGATTTTGTTGGGCTAGTTATTCTCTCTTCTCCTTTTTCTTGCTATTTTTAATTCTTGTTATATCTATTTACAACCATATGGTTGTATTTAATATATCTACAGGGTGTTATGTAACTGCATTAAAATGATATAAAATCTGACACGAAAGTGTAAAGAAAACATGCAATGATCGTACATTATTATAAGGCCCTAGATGTAAGGCTTTTATGTTGTGTGTTGTGCATGTTTCACCAAACATCCCATTATTTATTTTATTTTGAACTAAACAAACATCCCATTATTCAAAGCTGAAAATAACTTTACTGATGCATGCATGGTCATGCAAACCACGATCTGTGTCCCATTTCGAAAGTGAAAACTCGGTCATCATCACAATAGTAAAAGGTGCCAATCAAAATAAATAAAATGCGAACGTATTAAGTAAACAAGAAGGAAGCAATAGTTACAAAAGAACATTTATAGAATAAATGTGCCAAAAAGATATCTCTACTCATGAAACTGGGTGCGACGTGCGTTTCCACTCTCATGGTCGGTTGATTAAGTGAACGTCACATTCCCTCCCATTCCCATCTTCATGTTTCTTCTTTTTCCCGTTCCCGCGTACGTGTTTATAACTATCTATGCACACAGTCAATAAAAGCATCTTTGGATATGCTTATTAAGAGAAAAAGACATAGTAAGAAAAATATGAAACCGAACGACTTTAGTTTTTGGATTTGGAACGTCAAGAATTTGTTGTCCATGAATAAAGCCACTTTTGGAAAAAGTAAGAGTTGTCAAAATGATATGATTTGAGCATATTAATAAATAGATAGTTAAAAAAAAATAAAAAATAAATAAATAGATAGTTGACTAATCATTGCATGAGTAAAGCATTTCGGATTTGATTCCACTAAGCTATGTTTTTCTAACGGCTGAATGCACGTTCGTCTCTCTGCCTTCATTTTCACCACCATTCACAATGCTTCCATTAATTTATAACTATCCATAGCTTACGATTAATAAAATAAAACTACTAAAACATCTTAACAAGAAACACTAATTAACTAATTTATATCACAGGAAGAAGAAGAAGATGCAATTTTTAATCTGTGTGTATCCAATCCACATGGTATGGCCAGTGTTATTAATTACCCTATTGTTCAGCCCCCACATCACCTACTAATATTAATTTAATTTAATAAATAAATCTGTATTTTAGAAATACTGTTGGCCACTTTCATGAGCAAATGTACAGTCATAACTAAAACCAATAACTGGGTGGGTTGGATCATAAATAAGGATATTTATTACTTACTTGTTCAAAACCGTTTCAGACAGATAAAGTGAGGATCTGAGTTGGTTACCTAATAGGACACTTTTTGTCTTTCTTTTACAAGGAAAGACACTTATCACATGTGAGGCACATTTTGATGGGACCAATATATTATTTGGACAATTATATCCTTATTGTAAGGAAAGTGTTTGTGTATTGTAGGGAACTAGTTGTGTTTTAAGTGAATTTCTTTTGAAACATGATTATTTTATCAATCCTTTAAAACATTTAAATTTGTGTGTTAATAGATAATTTTTTTATTTATTATATTAAATAAAAATATTTTTCTTTATATTTCATTATCCACTTTCGATATATTTTTTTATTTTTAAATATTTATACAAAAATGTGTGGATATGGACTATAATGTATGGATGTAAAAAATGTGAACACATTTTAGTTTTTAATTAATTTTTAATGGACATAAAACATGTGGATATCACTGTCAGTTTTGTTGATTGTAGAACTGTTGCTAGATAGTAGAATGCATAATTAAAAATTTGAGGCGAAATTAAAAAAAAAATTATTAGCAAATTCAAGAATTTTGGGACCACATTACGTATAGCCGCAACTTGAAGGACCTAATGTGTAAAAAAGTCTTTCACCATTGTTGTTCAAGCTATCCTTCTGCAACTGAAGTGACAACGAAGACGGCCGCCACGGTGGGTTCAGAGCATGACGACCACGGCGGTACCAGTTGTATACTCATCAATCTTTGGTTCTGAAGGCTTTTAGACCCACCAAACCCAGATCCAACTTCAGACCCACAAGTCTCTCCCTTCTCATGGTTCATTTTCAACTCTGTTGCTTGAAAATTCTTTATCTTATGGGTTAGCGATAAAAATAGCTCTGATCTAGTCGTGCTCCTCCATAAGTTGGGTTTGACTTTTACAGTGCCTTCACCATGTCTTCGAACATACCGCAAACAAGGTTTTGCTGGAGATGTTGATGAAGCTATTAAAAAGATTAGGATGAACAATGCTAATACTAAGGAAGAAGCTATTGGTGATGTTGCCATATGTGTTGAGTTTTTAAGATTTGAATTGAAAAAAGATACAGAGAATTAATGGAAAAGAGAAATTGAAGGACATATATTAATTAGAAAAAGAAAGAAATAAAAAACATGTAATTGTGTACGAGTAATTTAGTTGTAAGGGAAAAATAGTTTGGTCAGTTCAAGTGTTTCCTTTTAGTTAGGGATATTAAAGTCTTTCTCTCACCACAAAGTGTGTGACAAGCACAATGTGTCCTAAGATGAAATTTGAAACTTAAAAAGTGTCTATGACTGTAAATTTTTCAAGTTTATTTGAGAGCTTGAAAACAATTGAGAGAAAAACAGCATAGAAAAACAAGGAACGGGTCCCAGACTAAGCAATCACCAAAAGATATTAGAATCGAATTATAATTTCAAACTAAATCATGATCCACGCGGATGCGTAGATTTTATTTTCTTCGGATGTATTATATATAATTTAATGTTATATAGTTTTGAGTTTGTTTAATTCGATTTTATGTTTAAAGAACAATATCAAAATTATCTTTTGTAGTAATAATATCAAGCAGTGTATTATGTAGATGTACTCGTTAAGTGAAAACACTAATTCAATATGTTTGTTCCAAGTGCAAAATCAAATTCAAAGTTAACTATTTGCATTAAAAAATAAGTTGAGAGTTTAATTATTTCTAATATTAATAATCATCCAAAATTTTTAAAATAATATACAAACTTCTAGAAGTCTTGGCATTAACCTTTATTTTATAAGTTAGATCAAATTCAAAATTAAAATTGGTCTTAACGTTGCAAACACGTATATTTTATGATGAAAAAGTCATAAATCACTTAACAAAATTTTGGTAATTTGAAAGAATTTATGTATTTAAAATATTTTTTCATTTAAATCAGTATTTCTAAATTCAACCCGGACCGTAGTTAATCGTGATCCGATAATTTCATTTTGATTTTTAAAAATATATATATTTAAAAAATCACTAAAACCCGAGACTAACTGATTAAATGATATTTAATATTTCAACTTGTAAAAATAAGTTTATTTTCATTGTTTTATATATTATTGAATTTTTTTAGTTAATCTAAATAATTGGAAAGAAAATCGTAAAATATTGAAAATTATGGGATCTAATATTTTGTATTGTTTGGACATAAAATTAATGATAGTGTTGTTTGAAAATATTGATAGTAGTATAGAGAAATAAATATATTGTTTGAAAACATATATAGTAGAATAAAGAAATAAATATATTGTTTGAAAACATGAGTAATAGTATAAAGAAATGAATATTAGTGATTTAATGTATGTTTAACTATAAAGTAAAAAATATATTTAATTTAAAAATTTACAAAATAAATGTTAAATCCAGTCCAATGTTTCTGTTTTAATAAGATAGGTAGAAATATGCTGCGTGGATGGATTAATTGATTAAAAAATTAGGAAGAAAAAGTAAAAATGATACTTTGGATTTGGAACAGCAAATATCAGGCATATATATAAAAGTCAAATGGCATTATTTACGTTTAATTGGTATTGATTATCAATCATAACCAGAGAGATTAATAAGCTCTAAATTTCTCCGCTTGGTTACTTTGATGTGAAAGGATTTAAATTTCTTCTCTTTAAGCTTCTTCTTCTTCTGTGTGAAACACAAAGATTTATTAGAGAGTCTCTGTTGTGGATCTGTTCTTCTCGTTTTGGGGATTTGTGTCTCTTCTCATTTCTTTTTTTTTGACTCTTTGTCTCGTTTTATCTGTTGAAAAGGGACAAAGGTTTTGACTTTTTTGACCTTCTCTTATCAAATTCTCGTTTTTTTTGTTAACTTCTTTTCTCTTCTCATTTCGGGTTTGGAATCGATACCAACAAACAAAGTGGCGATTTTGACTTGTGGGTTCTGTTTTCTGGTAATCCCCTGTTTCTAAAGTCTTGACCTTTGTTTCAGACAAAACCCAAACTCTGTCTTAGTTTTCAGGATTTTTGATGCATATCTCACTTTGGAAGCCACTTTGCCACTGTGCTTCTGCTGCTCTAACTCTCGACAAGAAAAGCAGCAGAGATGTTTCCGAGTCCACTAAAGCTCGAAAACTCCATGAATCCAAACTCAGAGAAGCTCTCGAAGAAGCATCAGAAGATGGCTTACTCATCAAATCTCAAGACATTGAAGAAGAAGAAGACCAACCTCAAGATCAAACCCTTGGACGGTCAAGATCACTCGCTAGACTCAACGCTCAACGTGACTTCTTGCGTGCCACTTCCATCGCAGCTCAAAGAGCATTTGAGTCACAAGAAGCGTTACCTAACCTCCAAGAAGCCTTAACCATGTTTCTTACAATGTATCCAAAGTACCAATCTTCAGAGAAAGTGGACCAGTTGAGAATCGATGAGTACTTCCACTTATCATTACCAAAGGTATGTCTTGACTACTGTGGATTCGGGCTTTTCTCGTATCTTCAGACGGTTCATTACTGGGACACTTGCACTTTTAGTTTGTCGGAGATTAGTGCTAATCTAAGCAACCATGCTTTATACGGTGGTGCTGAGAGAGGTTCCATTGAGCATGATATCAAGATTAGGATTATGGATTACTTGAACATCCCTGAGAATGAGTATGGTCTTGTGTTTACTGTTAGTAGAGGCTCTGCTTTCAAGTTGCTTGCTGAGTCTTATCCCTTTCAGACCAACAAGAAGCTTTTGACTATGTTTGATCACGAGAGCCAGTCTGTTAGTTGGATGGGTCAGTGTGCTAAGGAGAAAGGCGCAAAGGTTGGTAGCGCTTGGTTTAAATGGCCAACACTTAGGCTATGTTCTATGGATCTCAAGAAGGAGATTTTAAGCAAGAAGAAGAGTAAGAAGAAGGATGCAGCTACCGGTTTGTTTGTGTTTCCTGTTCAGTCAAGGGTCACAGGGTCTAAGTACTCTTACCAGTGGATGGCGTTGGCGCAGCAAAACAATTGGCATGTCTTGCTTGATGCTGGTGCTTTAGGTCCTAAGGACATGGACTCTCTCGGCTTGTCTTTGTTCCGTCCTGACTTTATCATCACTTCGTTTTACCGTGTGTTTGGGTATGATCCTACTGGGTTTGGTTGTTTGTTGATTAAGAAGTCTGTGATTAGCTGCTTGCAGAGTCAATCCGGGAAGACATGTTCAGGAATTGTGAAGATAACACCTGAGTATCCTCTATATCTAAGTGACTCCATGGATGGGTTGGAAGGTTTGAGCGGGGTTGAACATAATGATATAGCCATTAACGGTGATAATAAAGCCATGGGAACTCAGTTACCTGCATTCTCTGGTGTTTATACTTCTGCTCAAGTGCAGGATGCATTTGACACAGAGATGGTTCATGAAGTTGGTTCAGATAAAGATGCAACAAGCTGCACTGTGTTTGAGGAAGCTGAGAGTATCTCAGTGGGTGAATTAATAAAGAGTCCTGTTTTCAGTGAAGATGAGTCATCAGATAGCCAGCTCTGGATCGATTTGGGTCAGAGCCCTGCTGATTCTGATAACAAGCAAAAGAGCCCTTTGCTAGTTCCACAAAACCACAAACGAAGGATCTCGCCTAGACCAGCTTTAAAGACTAATAATGGTAGTAACGGTGGGAGTCATGTTCTCTCGTTTGATGCTGCTGTTTTGTCAGTATCACAAGAAGTGGCTGAAGTAGGCACTAGTCATGGTTGGCGAGTTAATGAGATTGGAGAAGAAGATGAAGGGAGCAGCAGTAAGATGATATCTGAAGGAAATGGAAATGGTTCAACCTCTGAAATCAAAGAGAGTGCGATAAGAAGAGAAACCGAAGGCGAATTTAGGCTGCTAGGGAGAAGGGAGAAGAGTCAGTACAATGGTGGGAGACTTGTTGTGAATGAAGATGAACATCCTAGTAAACGAAGAGTATCTTTTAGATCAGTAGATCATGGAGGAGAAGCATCAGTGATCAATTTTGACGATGAAGAAGAAGAAGATGGAAGCAATGAAGTAGAATGGGATGATGATGATCAGAGAGAACCAGAGATTGTTTGCCGTCACATTGATCATGTGAACATGTTAGGTCTCAACAAGACCACCTCGAGACTACGCTACCTCATTAACTGGCTTGTGACTTCTCTGCTCCAGTTAAGGCTGCCTAGATCAGACCCTGGTGGAGAGTACAAGAATCTTGTCCAAATCTATGGTCCAAAGATCAAATACGAGAGAGGATCTTCCGTTGCGTTTAATGTAAGGGATTTGAAGAGTGGAATGGTTCATCCTGAGATAGTGCAGAAACTAGCTGAAAGAGAAGGTATATCTCTAGGCATTGGTTATCTCAGTCACATAAAGATCATCGATAATAGAAGCGAAGATTCAGCAAGTTCTTGGAAACCAGATGGAAGAAACAACAACGGGTTCATAAGAGTTGAGGTTGTCACAGCTTCCCTTGGGTTCTTGACAAACTTTGAGGATGTTTACAGATTATGGAGTTTTGTGGCAAAGTTCTTGAGTCCAGGTTTTGCTAAACAGGGGACACTCCCAACAGTTATTGAAGAAGATGATTTTTCAGACACTTGAAAGAAACATGAGCAATGGATTACTTCTTTTTGTTTTTTTTGGTACACTTCCTTTGTTGTACTCAGTGGCGGAGCCAGCCACAAAATTTAAGGGGGCCAATATTAGCAAATCTATTGATCAGGTTAATTTTAAGTAAATATTACAGGGGTCAATGTACTGATTTTATAACATTTCTCTAGCTTTCTAAGTAAAAGTACATGTAATTTTTCTTTTGTGGTGAAAATTCATAGGGGTCAACTGACCCCCTCCATAAGCACTCCCTCCGCCTTTGAAAAAATTGAATTTTTGGATAAATGCAATCTATAATTTCTAAAAAAATGAGAACATATAAGATCTCAAACCTTTCATCTTCATACTATGTTATAAAATGATGCAAATATTCATTAACACAAAAATAAAAAAATTTCTAATTTTTCTTGAAATATGTAGGTTAACCCCTTCGAAAAAATTGAATTTTTGGATAAATGCAATCTATAATTTTTAGACATGTTAGTGTTGTTTAAAAATACCACACCACACTATAATTCTATATTAACATAAGTTAAACATATTTTCATGGTACATGGTCATCATTTCTAACTTTCCAACGAGTAATTTATTTAAACTTCATATACTATCTAATTAGTGTACTAACCAATATAAAATCTCTATTTTCTAGAGAAATGAGAACATATAAGGTCTTAAACTTCTTTCATCTTCATACTATGTCAGAGAATGATGCAAATATTCATTAAAACAAAAATAAAGAAATTTCTAATTTTTCTTGAAATATATAGGTTAACCCCTTTGAAAAAATTAAATTTTTGGATAAATGCAATCTACATTTTCTAGAGAAATGAGAACATATAAGGTCTCAAACCTCTTTCATCTTCACACTTTGTCAGAAAATGATTCAAATATTCATTAAAACAAAAATAAAAAAATTTCTAATTTTTCTTGAAATATGTAGGTTAACCCCTTCGAAAAAATTGAATTTTTGGATAAATGCAATCTATAATTTTTAGACATGTTAGTGTTGTTTAAAAATACCACACCACACTCTAATTGTATATTAACATAGGTTAAACATATTTTCATGGTACATGGTCATCATTTCTAACTTTTCAACGAGTAATTTATTTAAACTTCATATACAATCTAATTAGTATACTAACCACTATAAAATCTCTATTTTCTAGAGAAATGTGAACATATAAGGTCTCAAACCTCTTTAATCTTCATACTATGTCACAGAATGATTCAAATATTCAGTAAAACAAAAATAAAAAAATTTCAAAATTTTCTTCAAACATGTAGGTTAACCCTTTTGAAAAAAATTGAATTTTTGGATAAATGAAATCTTTCATTTTAGATACTTTAGTGTTGTTTAAAAATACGAAAACATACTCTAAATGTATATTAACATAGGCTAAACATATTTTCATGGTACATAGTCATCATTTCTAAATTTTCAACGAGTAATTTATTTAAACTTCATATACAATCTAATGAGTGTACTAACCACTGTAAAATCTCTATTTTCTAGAGAAATGTTAACATATAAGGTCTCAAACCTCTTTAATCTTCATACTATGACAGAGAATGATGCAAATATTCATTAAAACAAAAATAAAAAAATTTCAAAATTTTCTTCAAATATGTAGGTTAACCCTTTTGAAAAAATTGAATTTTTGGATAAATGAAATCTTTCATTTTAGATACTTTAGTGTTGTTTAAAAATACGAAAACATACTCTAAATGTATATTAACATAGGCTAAACATATTTTCATGGTACATGGTCATCATTTCTAAATTTCCAACGAGTAATTTATTTAAACTTCATATACGATCTAATTAGTGTACTAACCAATATAAAATCTCTATTTTCTAGAGAAATGGGAACATATAAAGTCTCAAACCTCTTTCATATTCATACTATGTCAGAGAATGATGAAAATATTCAGTAAAACAAAAAATAAAAAAAATTCTAATTTTTCTTGAAATATGTAGGTTAACCCCTTTGAAAAAATTAAATTTTTGGATAAATGCAATCTATAATTTCAAGAGAAATGGGAATATAAAAGGTCTCAAACCTCTTTCATCTTCATACTATGTCAGATAATGATTCAAATATTCATTAAAACTAAAATAAAAAATTTTCTAATTTTTCATGAAATATGTAGGTTAACCCCTTTGAAAAAATTGAATTTTTGGATAAATGAAATCTAAACTCTTTAGTGTCTTTTAAAAAAACCAAACCACACTATAATTGTATATTAACATAGGATAAACATATTTTCATGGTACATGGTCATCATTTTTAACTTTCCAACGAGTAATTTATTTAAACTTCATATACGATCTAATTAGTGTACTAACCAATATAAAATCTCTATTTTCTAGAGAAATAGGAACATATAAGGTCTCAAACCTCTTTCATCTTCATACTATGTCATAGAATGATGCAAATATACAGTAAAACAAAATAAAAAATTTCTAATTTTTCTTGAAATATGTAGGNTAATTAGTGTACTAACCAATATAAAATCTCTATTTTCTAGAGAAATAGGAACATATAAGGTCTCAAACCTCTTTCATCTTCATACTATGTCATAGAATGATGCAAATATACAGTAAAACAAAATAAAAAATTTCTAATTTTTCTTGAAATATGTAGGCTAACCCCTTTGAAAAAATTAAATCCTTGGATAAATGCAATCTATAATTTCTTGAGAAATGAGAACATAAATGGTCTCAAACCTCTTTCATCTTCATACTATGTTAGAAAATGATGCAAATATTCATTAAAACAAAAATAAAAAAATTTCTAATTTTTCTTGAAATATGTAGGTTAACCCATTTGAAAAAAATGAATTTTTGGATAAATGAAATCAATAATTTTAAGACACTTTAGTGTTGTTTAAAAATACCAAACCACACTCTAAATGTGTATTAACATAGGCTAAACATATTTTCATAATACATGGTCATCATTTCTAACTTTCCAACGAGTAATTTATTTAAATTTCATATACTATCTAATTAGTGTACTAACCAATATAAAATCTCTATTTTCAAGAGAAATTGTTACATATAAGGTCTCAAACCTATTTTATCTTCATACTATGTCAGAGAATGATGCAAATATTCAGTAAAACAAAAATAAAAAAATTTCTAATTTTTCTTGTAATATGTAGGTTAACTTCTTTGAAAAAATTAAATTTTTGAATAAATGCAATCTATAATTTCTAGAGAAATGGGAACATAAAAGGTCACAAACCTATTTTATATTCATACTATGTCAGAGAATGATGCTAATATTCAGTAAAACAAAAATAAAAAAATTTCTAATTTTTCTTGAAATATGTAGGTTAACCCCTTTGAAAAAATTAAATTTTTGGATAAATTCAATCTATAATTTCTAGAGAAATGGGAACATATAAGGTCTCAAACCTCTTTCATCTTAATACTATGTTAGATAATGATTCAAATATTTATTAAAACAAAAATAAAAAAATTTCTAATTTTTCTTGAAATATGTAGGTTAACCCCTTTGAAAAAATTGAATTTTTGGATAAATGAAATCTAGACTCTTTAGTGTATTTTAAAAATACCAAACCACACTCTAATTGTATATTAACATAGGCTAAACATATTTTCATGGTACATGGTCATCATTTCTAACTTTCCAACGAGTAATTTATTTAAACTTCATATACGATCTAATTAGTGTACTAACCAATATAAAGTCTCTATTTTCTAGAGAAATGTTAACATATAAGGTCTCAAACCTCTTTAATCTTCATACTATGCCAGAGAAAGATGCAAATATTCATTAAAACAAAAATAAAAAAATTTCAAATTTTTCTTCAAATATGTAGGTTAACCCTTTTGAAAAAAATTGAATTTTTGGATAAATGAAATCTTTCATTTTAGATAATTTAGTGTTGTTTAAAAATACAAAAACATACTCTAAATGTATATTAACATAGGCTAAACATATTTTCATGGTACATGGTCATCATTTCTAACCTTCCAACGAGTAATTTATTTAAACTTCATGTACGATCTAATTAGTGTACTAACCAATATAAAATCTCTATTTTCTAGAGAAATGAGAACATATAAGGTCTCAAACCTCTTTCATCTTCATACTATGTCAGAGAATGATGCAAATATTCAGTAAAACAAAAATAAAAAAAATTCTAATTTTTCTTGAAATATGTAGGTTAACCCCTTTGAAAAAATTAAATCTTTGGATAAATGCAATCTATAATTTCTAGAGAAATGGGAACATATATGGTCTCAAATCTCTTTCATCTTCATACTATGTTAGAAAATGATGCAAATATTCATTAAAACAAAAATAAAAAAATTTCTAATTTTTCTTGAAATATGTAGGGTAACCCATTTGAAAAAATTGAATTTTTTGATAAATGAAATCAATAATTTTAAGACACTTTAGTGTTGTTTAAAAATACCAAACCACACTCTAAATGTGTATTAACATAGGCTAAACATATTTTCATAATACATGGTCATCATTTCTAACTTTCCAACGAGTAATTTATTTAAATTTCATATACTATCTAATTAGTGTACTAACCAATATAAAATCTCTATTTTCAAGAGAAATTGTTACATATAAGGTCTCAAACCTATTTCATCTTCATACTATGTCAGAGAATGATGCAAATATTCAGTAAAACAAAAATAAAAAAATTTCTAATTTTTCTTGAAATATGTAGGTTAACTTCTTTGAAAAAATTAAATTTTTGGATAAATGCAATCTATAATTTCTAGAGAAATGGGAACATAAAAGGTCTCAAACATATTTTATATTCATACTATGTCAGAGAATGATGATAATATTCAGTAAAACAAAAATAAAAAAATTTCTAATTTTTCTTGAAATATGTAGGTTAACCCCTTTGAAAAAATTAAATTTTTGGATAAATGCAATCTATAATTTCTAGAGAAATGGGAACATAAAAGGTCTCAAACATATTTTATATTCATACTATGTCAGAGAATGATGATAATATTCAGTAAAACAAAAATAAAAAAATTTCTAATTTTTCTTGAAATATGTAGGTTAACCCCTTTGAAAAAATTAAATTTTTGGATAAATGCAATCTATAATTTCTAGAGAAATGGGAACATATAAGGTCTCAAACCTCTTTCTTCTTAATACTATGTTAGATAATGATTCA